TTAGTTCTGCATATAACTTAGATACAGTAAGGAATAGCTGAAGTTCTTGTGAAATGTGTGTGTTAACATATTCTTAATTTATGTTTTATTAGACTTATATATTGAAAATGCAAGTATCTTGAAAATTATTATTCTTTGTTGCCTTTGTTGCTGCAAACTTACAAGAGTTCCTCCTTTCTTTTCCTTAACAGATATAAGCTTACCAAAGTCTGCAACAATATGCTACACAGCTGCCTTGCTCAAAGCAAGAGCTGTCTCTGACAAGTAAGTGAATAATAACTTGTGTGGTACTAAATGCCTGACTGTTCTTAAAGAGATGTGTTGCCTCCGAGGGCTTTCTCTGGAAGTTTCTCTTAGTCTACGAGCCCCCTGCTTATGAGCATGCATTTTCCAAAACCTGCTGATCTTTTCTTTCACTACTAGAAGGAGGGAATGTGTATCCCCAGGTATTGTAAGGGTGTATGGGTCCCTAAAGAGGGATTTATATGAATTCCGTGCCTCTGAGGTGACTTTTTTTTTTCCCTGTCAGACAGTAGATACCAAAAGGCTTGCTTGGGACTTACATAAAATGCCATCCTTTTATTCAATTTTTGCATAATCCTCTTCCTTCAGCAGTCCACGAATGGGTAGTAGTCATGCCGACACGGAATGTGGCAGAGGGGATGGTCATCTCACATTCTCTTTGCCTCATAGATGCCAAATCAGCTCCCCACCCAGAGTCTGTTTACTTTGAGTTGCCATCTCCATGGGACGTTTGCACATTTTATTCAGGAAGGTGACTATGACATACAGAATTTTCATAAACATCCAAGGATGACTGGCAGGTGAAAGAGCATAGATGGCTTAACTGTTTTTGAGTTCATAAACATTTACACTTCCCCGATACAATCCCACTGTAGCATCGAAAAGCAGAGAACAGGAAAACAGTCTCTGCTGTGTCAGACAGGTTTGCTGTTAAGTGTGTGTGCACTTCAAGACCGAAGTAATTTTCTTTCATTCTTTTTTATCCTGTAGATCGCCAGTACCTACTGCAACATCTTTTCTCCCTACACAGCGACTCCAGCTTGGGAGGGCAGGGCCAGGGTTGTCACAGCTTCCCCTGTGGTGTCTGCCTGCCAAGCGCAGCTCTGGAGTTAGCCCTGGGTGTGAGGTGAGAAAGAGATTGCATGGTCTGGTTTTTTTCATTCACCTGGGCAGGTGTCTTGCCCGCAGTTTGGGCATGCACACCCCCCTGCTGGAATGGCCCCAAGCAGGCTCGCCTGCTGCTGAAGCTGCAACAACTTAACCCTCCATCGCAGCACTGACATTGGGTGGGAGCCTCCTTTAAAATTCTCCCCAGTTCTGTTTTTAACCAAGTGCGCTCTTCTGTAACCTAGTTTTCTCTTTTTCCTACACTGTCTGCCCTTGTCAGTCCTACCCCTTCCTCCCACCTAAGCAGGTACCTCATAGAAAATATAGATTAGCTATTTAGACAGAGAGATTGACAGCTGAATTTAATTCCCGCCGCGATTAGATGCAAGCACGCTTTCTGCTTCTGCTGGGGTTTTTGTTGGCCTCAATCTGAGGGGTCACTCAGAGGTTCCATGTAGTGGAAGTTTGGAGAGCTCATGCCATTGGCTCGCTGTGGTTTTATGGGCCCTTGATGTGTAGATGCCTTTTTAGGTTGATGCCCAAGCAGTGGTCCCAACTGGATGGTGTTTGTCTTTCTGCTTTTCAGATTCTCTCCCGAGGCTGCATCTCGGCGGGGGCTGAGCACAGCAGAGATGAATGCGGTAGAGGCCATTCATAGAGCTGTGGAATTCAATCCTCACGTACCAAAAGTGAGTCTATTGTGATAGCAGAGAAAGCGTTCACTGACCACAATGTCATGTCTCGAATATGCCCGGTTATGAAGAAATGAATTGCAGCCAACAAATGTTGAGGCCTGTATAGTCTATGAGCATTAGCCTCATTTTAAGCAAAAGCTGCACTCAAGAGGCTTTGGAGCTGATTTTCAGACTTCACACAGAGAGAGTAAATGGATAGACCTTGCTTAGGCAGGCCAGGTCAGGAAGTCCGAAATTGGCAAAATGTGGAGATCCGGAGAGTATTGATGCATTTGATAGGAATTTCACCCAGTTATGGTCTTCTGTTGACCAAACTTGGAAAATAAACATTGTTGTGAATAAAATTGATTTAAAAATACTGGCTAATGTGACATTCTATGTCTCTATAAATAAATGATAGTTAATTAATATTGGCAAGAAAATAATAGAGAAAACCTCGAAGTATGAAGTATTTTGATTTGTGAGTGTCATTTTTAATAGGTATATATAGCATAATAGATAATATTTGTCTTAGTTGTTAACCACATGATTGACCAG